CGACACTTCTGAACGACACTTCCAAATGCGCACCGCGCCACAGCAAGAGCGATTCGACCCAACCAAATGCGTACCGCGCCACAACGAGAGCGATTCGACCCACCAAAGTGTGTAGAGAATCACTTCGTATGCTAAATCTTCGCCTCGCGCCACAGCGAGAGCGATTTGACCCACCCAATATGTGTAGAGGGTTCGCTTCACATGCTCAACCTACCCAAAGCGCGCAGAAGGTTCGCTTCGCGTTCTCAAAATGTATACCGCGCCATAGCAAGAGCGATCTTGCTAAATCAAAATGAAATCTATACCCAGGCACCAAAATACTACGCCTGCCAAGAAGTTTTCACGAAAAACTCCAAAATTATGTGCCTGCCACGAAATTCAACCAAAACGCTCGAAAGTGCACGCCTATCATACAAAATAAACTTGCCACAAACGCAAAATCATCCAAACTACTAAACCTGCCTCGAAATCCAACTTTATTACGTTTACAACACGCATCCAAAACTGACACGGAACTTTTATGCCAAAATAATTTCAACCAATTTTAATCTGGTTGTAGTCGTCGTACTGTTCGTGCTTTTAGTACGCCTTGTGCTGTTGCGACATAGTTTTCTCCTGTTTCGGAGACTTGAGCCAAATGCATTTCTGCATTCGGAGGTCTGCTTTCGGTAGTTGTTTGTGTTGTGGTGGAAGGTAGAGTAGTGTTCTGACACTGGACGAGCAGATTGCAGCTGGAATCTCACTGGGTCCTGCGAAACTGCTGACCAAGAAGATCCAGCTGTTGAAGGAGCCCCAGGCACGGCTGGAAAATCGCTCGCTCTTGACTTTGTTCTGAGACGCGCAATTGGTCGTTGTGTGCGATTTTGAATTTACCCGACCGCCAGGCATGCTTTCGGCGGGGCTGCGCTAAACGCATCAACAAAACCAGGAAATCCCAAGATTGCATTTGGACAGATTGCAGCGCTTCCTGTCTTCATAGGTTTCAACCGTCTGCGTTGTTGGCGGACGTGCTTCCACTCAGTGTGGGGGCCCATGAATCTATGGTTGCCCTTCCTTGCCATTCGGGGAGGTCATTCGCTTTTGCTCCCATTGATGGAGAGATGCCCTTGGTCGCTGTAACATATGTTTTTTGATTTCCTCTCCAGCCTGCTTTCAAAGAACAAGACCTTCCCTTCTGCCATTGGGGAGAGGGAAGGCAAACTCTGATGCCTTTGCACCCATTGGGGTCGTTGCTGCGGCCGACGCAATTCAATCCTGCCACGCAGGCCGCCGACGCCCTCCTTTTACAGCTCCGGGTAGCCTGTTTCTAGGTGAGCTTTGGTGTCTGCAGATGATAGCAGAAATGAAGGCAGAAATCCACTACAAACCGGCCACCGTGCAAACATGCAGATTACACAGATCCAAGGCCCCTCTCCCAAACAAGAAGTTAGAGATGACACACTCCCCTCCACTTGTGTCAGCAGATCAACCTGACCTCCGGCATATTTTTCAGACAACGCCAAGTTGCCGGAGATGTTGATGATGCAACCTGGTCTTCTTGAAGCGCACCAAAAACACTGAATTTTCCACGCTTTCACACGGCGCGTTTCAACACATTGCCTAAAAAGAGCAGCCGGCCGGATTAGTTTGTGTTTTGTGGGGAAAATAGGTTTTTCTCTTAGCTCAAACCCTGCCAAAACACAACCTGCAACAAAGCTGGACAGCACGGTAGGGCACAGGGCTGCGCTGCGATTCGGGCCACCGCAGCCCACCCGGGGATGTCAATGATGCAATTTACATGCGCCTGGGGCAACCTCCCCCATCAGCGCCTAGACGAAACGCAATTTTTGAGGCAGAAGCGTGCAATCACATTGATAATTGCAGGATTTCGGCATTGCCCTGAACATGCGCTCAAAATGCCTTGCAAGGGTTCCGGAGAAAGCCTTGGGATTGGAGACAAGATGCCATCTACACGCACGACTTGCGTCGGCGGATTTTGTTCCGACAGCATGAGCATGGAGGAGATTGCTAAAGTGTGCACAATGTATTCCTGCCGCCGGCTGACTTTTTTGTTGAGGTGTTGTTGCGTGTGGTTTTGATTTCTCCCCGCAGCCCGGAAATGCTTTCAGCGGGGCTATCCACAGAACCAGGAATTCCATTGCTCGACACTGAATGTACTTGACGCCACTCTCTCCCCTTATCAACCTTGTCGGGGTTCCTGGGAACTCAGTGTTTCGACTCAGTGGGGAGGCCATAAAGAGATTGTTGAGCTTACTGTAACCACGCATCGGTGCCCCTGTATTCCTTGCTTTCCTAGTGCTCCGCTTTCGCACTAAGTGCCCATGCTTCTTTGTGATTTGTTATGAATGGTTAGCGTTTTGCAAAACATGAACCAGTGGGAATGAACCTGCCAGTGATCGATTTTCTCACCAATTGCCGATGCGTGTTTAGTTTGTTGCGATTGTTTGTCCTTCCCAGCATTCCCTCATGCATAGCCAGCTCAAATTTGTGCACCTCCCGCGCAGGTTGAGCTCCCTCGTTTTTGCGCCACAGACCTCGTTGACTTTGAAGACCGCTTTTTGAACGGCCGAATCAACAACAAGGATGAGAGGCCGTTTGAGGAAAGGGAGGCGGTTGTAAAGATATTTTTTGAGGAGATAGAGCTGATCCAAAGTTTGGAGACTAACAAGCCGACGGTGGTGGCCTTGTGGAGCCCGCGGGGAACGGGCAAGACATCGCTTATCCGACATTTGGCGAAGGTCTCAAACTTTTCCGAGAGTCGACGGTGCGGACGGCTCTTGGTCTTTGACGCGATGGTGATTCCGGAAGCACTGGCGCGTGAAGATTCTGATGTTCAATGTGTACTCTGTGCAAGTGGAACAAGGGCCTGTCAGTTTCCAGACTAAGAGAGTTGGCACCTTGGTGAACATGCGCAAAGGATTGCAAGTGGCAGGTGAGAGAACAACGTTTTGCAATTGAGCAGCGTTCAAAATTCCGATGAAAAAAGTTATCAAGAAGTTGTCTTGCAAGATACTGCGCGAAAGGAAAACTCAGGGCATGACAGGGCCGCGAAAGCTTCGCGAAAGCTTCGCGAAAGGGGCGCGAGGAATCATGTTCGCGAAAGGGGCCGCGAAAGGCCGATTTTGAACACTGGGTTGCCCAACGTACTTCATTTTACTTACTCGTGCTTATGTTTACGGGACCCGTCTGCGAAAGCTCCGCGAAAGGGTTTCTTGGCCCAATGTGCTCCGCGAAAGGAAAACTGTGGAGTGCGCAAGATTCGCGAAAGGCCGCGAAAGGGTTCGCGAAGGCAGACATGGAATACAACATCGTGGAGCCCAGTTTCAGACCACTGCTCAATTGGGTTCAATCATGTTGCATGACGACCGCTAGTGTTTTCAATCAGTGGAAGTCGGTGACGGCTGCAGCCTTCAATGCAACACCAGCCTGCCCTTGCTCAGTGTTCCTCGATCAGGCAGAGCTGCTTGTGAACAGAGAGGTCGAGGGACTGAGCCAACTGGGTGGAAGGAAATCGGTCTTCACCGAGATATTGAGCCGATTCCCGCAGAGGATGGGCATGTTTTCCGCAGGCACAGTCAATATCCTGCAAGATAGGCCATCCGAGCAGTACACCGTGCTGAAGGTCCATGAAGTACCTGCTCTAGCGCCATTGTCACTGCAAGCCGCCAGACGAGCCATGAAAGAGTGGAGCGGGTACGCAGTACCAGGAGGAGAAATTCAACAAAGTTCACCTCTTCTCTGCCGGGGTACCCCGGCTTTTGGAGGCAGCTTTCCAGACATCAACTGAGTCTGCCAACTCAACTGCTCAGGAGCAGCATTTCCAAACAGCAAGTCCGTACTGGTTCCACGGCTGTGGTGGTGTGAGGATACCAATATCAAAGACGCCATCCGACACGATTTGAAGGAGCTGAACATTGACCTGAAAGGGCTCCTGCCAGATTCCTTGCAGTTGCTCAACAGCCCAAAAAGGGGTGCCACTGAAAGGGGGGAGAAGTGGGAAGAGCTGGTTGCAAATTCCCTGGCAGCGCGGTTCCGCCTTCACTGCATAGCAAGAAACCTGAGTTCTGAAGTCACCTGCATGGGTCCCTTTTTGGGAGATTATCCTACGGAGGATCCACACTTGCGAGCTGTTTAGTGATGGTGTGGAATACCCAAGCGGCAAAGGCAATGAAGCAACTGTCATGAGTGACGTTGGGAAGGCCATCAATTCCATCCGGAATTTTACAACGGCTCACCACGACCTTTTGATCCCTGTGACACGCAAGGCAGCTCGAGTTTATTGCAGCGCAATGTTATGGAGAGAAAAAGGGGGCAGGCGGCCTGAAGTTCCAGGACAAGGCGAAGGAGCCCCAAAAAGAACGAACACGTTGAGGACATGCAAAATGTGTTGCTGCAGATTTGCAGTGAGTCTGAGGGCTGGCAGTCTTTTTCAAACAAGAAGTGGGCCAGACGCCAGGACGAGAAGAAATACTCTCTCATGAGTTGCGAGACTATCATTGCGCGGCTGGACGTGCTGAAACTCTTGTGAGTGTACAAAATCGCGCTAGCAGGTGGGAGGAGGGCGGACTTAAGACACAAGAGGTTTCACATGTTTCATGGGTGTCAGGGTTGCATCGTTTTCTAGACTGACAGGACAGACATTTTTTCTGACCGTCGTTATGTTCTCTCCGGGGGGTTGGGGCTTCTCGGGACGTGGGAGACTTTCATTGTTTCGGTCAAAAACGATGCTGTGAGACGCGAGGGGTGCTCAAGCTGCTCGCGAATTTTCGCCCGCGGTTTTCTGAGTTCAGGTATTTTTCAACAAAGATGCGGATTCAAAGGAGCGGCCGTTCTCGGGCCCACGTGACACTCGCAAGATGCATGTTGTTTCATGTAATACTTTTTCTGTTTGCTTGGCCTTGCAGCCCACAGACAGGGAGCACGCCTTTGAGAAAGCTTGCCAGATGCGTCTTGTGTAGCAAATTGAGGGAGACACTGCGAGGGCTGGTTGTGACATTGCCATGGAGACGATGAAGGGCAGGAGGAGCCGAGGCTGGTCAGCTTCAACTCGTGCTTGTTAAGGACTCGTTGTCGTCAGGTGTGCGCTCCCGCATTGTCCTGACTGCAATCGCGTGGCTGCTCGTACACACGGCCAAGACCTCGGCAACATGTTTTTCAGTGCTTTTGTTTTCGGGTTGTGGCCCCAGGTGCATTTGTTCACGATTGCCCCTCACAAGCTGATTTCACCGAGTCGCCCGGGCTGGAAGGACGCTAGATTCTTGGCATCGTGGTTGTGTTTTGTGTGTTGCCGCCAGGATTCTCGCAAGGCACAGGTCCAGATCTCGGTGTTGCTGTAATTGTTTTTGCTTGGATTCTCAGCTCTTGAGGTGACAAACTGGCACCCTTGGCGTGGTGGAGTTGCTTTGCGCGCCAGCCCGCAGCAGGACGCTCCAATCAGCTGTTGCGAATTTGGCCGGTTGCAATCATGCCAGGACAGCGACCCGGAGGCCGGGGGCTCGCGCACGCCAGGCTCAGTTGTTGGTGGGTGCTGGCAGGACTGGCTCGCCAAGAGCCGCCAGGAGGTGGAGGGGTTCAAGAAAGCTCAGGTTGCCAGGTGGACGGTGGGCTTGAAGCAGATGACGAGTTCATCCAGCAGACGGTGACGACACTGCAGCAGCAGGGCGTCACCGGCATGTCCCCGCTGGAGCTGACACTGGAGAAGCTGATGCAAGATGGCGTTCCCCGCGGCCCTGCAGAGCTTCTGGCCAAGAAGATGCGACTGCTGAACGAGCCCCAGGCACGGCTGGGAAATCGTTTGCTTTTAACTTTGTTCTGAGACGTCGTTGCGCGTGGTTTTGACCCCCCCGCAGCCCGCAAACGCTTTTGGTGGGGCTGCCCGCCTAAACGCATCATCCACAAAACCATGAACGCTTTTTGTCTTCGTAGATTTCAACTGGCTGCGTTGTTGGCAGACGTGAAACGAATTAGTGTGGAGGCCCATGAATCGATGAGTGGTTAGCATAGTCTTTTTGTACTTTTGTCCATGCTCCCTTCGGCAGTGGCTTTCCGGCCCAATCTTAGCCTGCTTGATTGTTGAGTTTCGTATTGGCTGCCATTCCTTGCCCTGCCAGTTCTCGATTATCCCGCGAACGCATGTCTGACTTGCCATGAAAGGTTGGCGCTGTCCGTTTTCCCGTGTAAAGACTTTCCAGTTGTTTTTTTTGCTTGAAGCCCCACAGTTGGTGCAGCTGAGCGTCAGCTGTTTTGTGTTTTTGTTCAGAGGCATCCATCAAGGCCGCCCTGATGAGCGGGCTGAAGTATCGTGATCCATCTCGCTTGCTTCGAACGATTGGGGCGGATTGGGATTACGTGGGCATTGAAGACTTGCAGAAGCAGCTCCGGAAACCGCTTACGGAGCTTTGCCAGAACAAGGGCCTCGGCGAAGATAAGATGTTGCACCCGCTCTTCTTGGTCGTGGCTGCCCCAGGCCAGGGAAAAAGTCGCTTCTTGCAAGAGTTTCATCGGCTTGCAGAAGATACTGGCTTAATTGGCAGCTCTTCTTATGGCCAGCGATTTCTCCAATTTTTGCTCACTTTGGAAAATGGCCAGAAAGTAGATGCTGCACACGATATTTTGCCACAGACGATTTTGGCATCGCGGATGCTTTGGCAATTGCTCGCGAAGGCAGACTTTACACGATTCGGATGGGCTGGCTTGCCTCCAAACTTTACGTTTGATCAGCTTCGTGCAGCTGTTGCAACTGAAGGCATCCTTGTTGACGACGTCATTCAGGCACTGGAGAAGGGCGAAGGGTTAAGTGGAGCCAAGTGGAGTTTGAGTCTGGCACTGGATGGGCTGCACAACTTGCCTGGCTCGGAAGACATGTCAAGCAAGAGCACAATTTTCTACCAGACCATGCAAGCTGTATGCCAACAAGTGAATCGGGATATGGGCCGTTTAGTGGTGGGAGTAATTTCTGCCACTACGCGAGTAGGCGTTGAATCATCTTTAGCCGACAGCCCTCAGCAGCGCGCATTTATTCACTTGCCTAGGGTAGAAATTGTGCAGCGGCTCGGCAAAGATGTTTTTTAACTTCTCTGGCAATAAGATCCTGGAGCTTGTTCAATCAGACATGGGAGGGCATGGTCGAGCTTTGGAACAGCTCGAAGCAATAGGAATCCAAGATCCAAGATCTGCAGAGAATGTAGTGCAAGAGGTGCGAGTGAGACTTTACACTGCGTATCCAAATGCCATTCCGGATGATTTCTTGCCTGTCCTAAAAGCTGCATTGGCTGGAAAATGGCTGAAAGTCAATGAAGCTGTTGGCGGCCAGAACCCTGAAAAGCTGCAATTGGTTCAGCTGGAGTACAGCCCAAGCGGAAAGCGGCGTCGACTTTTGCTGCCATATATTTGGATCCACCTTGCTATCGTTGATGAACCGCAGCTGCAAGATTGGGCGTTGTTGGACTACAGAGACATCAACGACAAGCCAGACCCGAATGGCTTTGATTGGGAAACCTTCTTGGTGCGCTTCCGGGCCTTGAAATCACTGGTGTGGAATGATGGTGAGAGTGTTAGCCTTTCTGATCTGCATGCCGGTGCTTTGATCAACCCCACAGCCTTTGGTGGGCGGTGTGTCAAGAACAGACCCCTGCAAATTGTCACTGCAAAGGGGTGGACTGCGACGAACGCGCAGCATTTCGGACTGAAGAAAGGGCAAGGTGGTACCATAGGACCAGATGGGCAAACAGCTCTTAGAGGAGAAGAACTCCAGAATGGTAATTACTCCTACATAGTGCGAAATGCAAGGAGCGCACTTGCAGCCGACTTTGCAGCACTTCTCGAGGACGCCAGTGGTAAACCTTTCTCAGAATGTGGACAAGCAAAGCAAGGTCAAGCAAATGTGGACAATCAAGTCATTCAAGATGAACGTGCTAAAAGCTGCGACGCAGATGATGTTTTGATTCTCTTCTGCACAAAGGAGAAACACATCCAGCAGCAGGATTTGCCCCCAATGACAGGCATCGTTCAACCAGCCCAATGGCTGGAATACTTTGGTCCATATGTAGGGCGCGCTTGGGCAATGCAACAAGAGAACAGGACGCCGTGAAAAAGTCCTTTGCACTCTGTATTGACGCTTTGCCTGCCCTCTCAGTGAGCTCCATGTTTAAGACAGTGGTGGGAAACAGGTCGCAGTTTATTCCTTTCTCTTATGTTGCGTAGAAGTGTCTGACTGTCCTCGCGCAGAGTCTCCGCAGCTAGCCCTTGTAGACGGAGTTGATCTAAAGAATCTAAAGGTGCTTGAAGGCCTTGAAAGGACTTTTGTATTCGATGCCATTGGCTTCAAACACATTCAGTATGAATGCCCCTGCGAAGGTTTCGTGATGGAGTTGCGAAAGTCTTTGTGCCGCGACAGATATTTCGTAACCCGTTTTGTGAAGTGGGTTTCCTTAGGGACGGAAACCATGGTCGATTTTCGCGCAAGTTTCGCGACAGTTTCGGGGGAGCCGGCGCGAAAGTTTGGGCCCTCAGACAAAGCCAGGTGCCCTGCATGACATGCTGTTGAGGTGGAGCCTCTTAAAAGTCTTCATTGTTTCCTGGCAGTAGTCCTTCGCAGTAGTTCTCCGGAAGCCCAATTAAGGTCGTGCACGACAAGTGCACAGGGATGGAGTTGCGAAAGATTCGCAAAAGTATGTCTATGGCTGTTTTCCGACAAAGAAATTGAGATCAATCCCCGTGTAGCCAGGCAAGCAAATGGGAGACTTGTTTGCATCGAAACATTTTAGAGGTGGCAACCCAATCTTGCTCTAGACCCAGTCAGCAAGCAGTGCAAGGATTTCATCCAGGTTTTGTTCATTGTGCCAGGAGAGGCTGTGTGGACAGCCGAGCAGAGCCGAGCACAGCCGAGCGTAAAGAGTCGAGAGTAGCTAGTAGAGAATAGAGAGGGGAATGGAGGGGGCGCCAATGGCTGAAGCTGTTTTTTTTGCTGACTGTGAACCTTGCGCCAGCCAAGCTCTCTCTCTCTCTCTCTCTCTCTCTCTTTAAAATACAGTACACAAATGCTTGTAGTGCAAGTGCAATGCTGTTGTTCAACATAGCCAAATCTGTAGTGTCTGCCAGGTAGTCCCTTTTCTTCTGGGCTCAGTAGTCTGAAAGCTCAAGCCCCGCAGTAGTGTACATGACTGCACAAGTGTGAGAAGTAGGTTTGACACGGCCCCTCGGTTGATCAACCTTGACAAGTGTTGTACAACCGTAGTTGAAAAGATGGGGCAGTCCGAAAGAGAAAGATATTTGCATGTAGTTTTCTCTCTTCGCAAAAGTGGGATTAACAGTAGTGACGAAAACAAATATCGTTATTCATTGGTTCTACTGTGGTGACTGGCCTGTAGTTTCTTCAAAACAGACCGAAGGTAGGTCTACTACAACGCTGCTGGCTGTAGTTCATCTAACCTTCAATGGTCAAAAGGTTGTAGTTGCTGCACAGGGTCCTAGTTAACCCTCAGTCGTCTTGGTGATTTAAATGACGTAGCGCAGCAAGTAGTTATGGTGGAAGCCGTAGTCTCACCATTTGCTCATGCTTGTAGTCCAGGCACGTCTCATGTATGCTTTGCCCAGTTGTTGACCCGGTAGGTCTGGGTCAATTTGAGGCGGTGGTCGAGGCTGGCGTAGTAGTTAGTGGTGAAGGTTGTGATGAAGTCAGGACCGCCTCGCAAACAGTTGCAGTCGACTTCTGGAGCCACCAGTTGTTGTCCAGTTGTAGTTAAGAAGTTGTGGAGTTGTCGTCGTTGCTGCGTGGTGAGGGTGGTCATTGTGAGTAGTGTGAAGCCGTAGTAGGCAATGCTCTTGTGGAGGATGGTGTTGATGGCCTTGTACTGAAAGTCATGTAGTTGGTCGGGATGTTCAAGGTGGTGGAGTAGCTCAGGAAGAAGTAGTGGCATGTGGTAATTCCAATGTAGTTGTTACTTAGGCTGTAGGTGGCAGTGAACTGTTCCATGTTGTAGTCGCACGTAGTCCCTCGAAAAGTTGACAAGCTGGCCGGATGTCAAGTAGCGTAGTAGAAGTTCTTGTTTCAGTAGTAGCTGGATCACCACGAGCGTGTTGGGGTTCGTAGTTACGTGCAAGGACGTAACGTGATAGTAGTAGAAGTTGACTGACTCAGTGAAGTGGATGTTGAGGAGAGTGGAGTTGTATAAGGGCATGCGTGGGTCTGCGGGCAGACAGTAGACGGGCATGGAGTAGTTCAAGTGGTTGATGGGCGTAGTTTGTTGTTGGGAGAGGAGTATGATAAGTGCAGTGAAAACCTTGATGTAGTTCTGGTCGTGGTTGACAGGTGGTGTAGATGTAGTCTGGTGCTCGACAATGGTGAGGTGGTCCATGATGTTGTTTGGCTGGTAGTATGGTGCCGAGTTGGGTGTAGCATGGTTGAAGCGGTAGATGGTAGGGTTGTAGGCCTCAGGAGGTAGTGTTCCTGATCCCAGATCGCTGGAATCTGTAGTGACAGCTGCCTGCGGTGTAGACATCCTGTCTGGTGTAGGCTCTCGTGGAGTAGTCTCCATGGCCTCTTCCTCCTCAGGCATAGTAGCCTCAGGCACAGTTGTAGTCACATCAGTCCGGGCATCCATGGCTGGAGTAGTGACCAAAAGAAGCAGTGAAACAGGGCACAGAAGTGAGCCGAGGTAGTGGCTGTAAAAGGCGCGGGCAGACATGTATTACAACAACAAATGTAGTGTTGTCCAAAGCCGCCAAAAGTATGCCGCCAAGAAAAGAAAGTGTGAGTGACATTACTGGTAGTTACTTTACTTACGTACAAACTGTTACATGTTGCATGCTGCATGCAGCTGCATACAAATTGTTGTGCTAAACACGTATGCCAATGCTCTGTATGAGCCTCTGTAGTGTTTCTTTGCTGATGTATTTGGTGAACAGGTCTGAGCTGTTGTGTAGTGTGTTGATCTTGCTGATTCTGATGATGTCGTGTTTGATGAGGTCTTGTGTGTAGAGAAATTTGAGGTCGATGTGTTTTGCTCGTTTGCTGGTGCCTTGTCGTGTAGCTATGCTTCTGCCTGCTGTAGAGTCCGTGAGAATGCGTAGGTTGAGCTTGCTGCAGATGTTGGTTTCAAGTAGGAAGTTTCTGAGGTGTAGTCCCTCATTAACACCTGTGCAAACTGCGTAGAGTTCAGATTCTGCTGAACTTAGTGCTATTGTAGCCTGGGTTCTGCTGCCAAATGCAACTGTAGTTCCAAGGAAGTGGATGTTGAAACCTGAAGTGGATTTCCTGGTAGTGGGGCATCCTGCCCAGTCCGCATCGACGTAGACGTCGAGATCCAGGATGTTGTTGGTGTTTGCTCTGAGTGTTGTTGTTGGTTCTATGGTGAACTTGTAGTGTTTGGTGCCGTGGAGGTAACGTAGTAGACGCTTAACTGTCTTTTGAGAAAGTTCTGTGGGTGCTGTGAGGTCTCGTGCTAGTTCTTTTGTTGCGTAGGCAAAGTCTGGTCGTGCGTAGGCTAACCATTGTAGTTTACCAACAGTTCTTCGGTACCTTTTGTGTTGTTCGTGGTCGAGTAATGCTTCGTCTTCCAGTGTTGGTTTGTAGTGTGCGATTCCTGGAGTTGCTACTGCGTTGCAGCTGTTCATGCTGGTCTCCTTAATCATGTCGTTGATATAAGAGTCCTGTAGTCCAACAGTGCAGTAGTTACCGAAGTGCTCGATGTTCCTGCCGAGGAATTGTTGTGGTTTGCCAGGTTCCAGGTAGCCGATGTGATGATGTAGCAGTCACGAGCCGCGTTGGTGTAGACATTTGGTTCTGACTTTAGTCTTACAAAGCCAAGCTTTTGTAGAACCTCAGCCAGGTAGTCTTGCCAAGCTTTGGGTGAGCTGCGTAGTCCGTACATGGCTTTCTTTAGCCGCCATAGTTTGTCCTGTTGTGGACACAGCTCTCTTGGTGGCCAGAGGTAGACATCGCGTTGTTTGCCTTCGTTGTCTTTTGCAATGGGTGCGTGTAGAAATGCCGTAGAAACGTCACTCAGTCGTGCTACCCAGTTTGGTCGTGACATTTGTAGCGCGAGAAGTGTCCGCAGTGTTGTGAACATTGG